CACGATTACTCAGGCTTAACGGAGATGTACAACCGGGCTYGACAGGGCGCAACTGTTTCACCARAAACCCTTTGATTGCACTGGAATTRTCYTTGAACCCAATTACAGAATTGTTAGGATTCGCCTGCAAAGTGCTCTTTACGATCTGCATTAGAGTCCGATTCATCGGTTGACCATCTATAACAATCTTTCCAGTGAAAAACCAGTGTCGGCTGTGCTCGCTGTTCGATTGTGCAATATCAAAGAGYTCRACATTTGTAGGGTCCCGYTGRATATCGTTCTTGAAWAGTTTAGTGTAGTACTGTAGATCTTGTTCATCGAAAGCCAACCCCAATTCTTGGTTAATCTCCTCCAATGCTTTCCGCCCCTTTTCCATAACGGGGACGTAATACACTTCTTCAGGAACTATACTTGTTTTGAAGGAAACAAGTTTCTTGGGATAAACACATTCGGTCATTCTATCGTGCACCATTGCTGCAAACTCATCAATTTGACTATCTAAAAGCGGTACACTTTCGGCTTTAACAAACAGAAGATATCTTCTTGATCGTTCAAATCTGTTTACTTCTGATAAACCACAAGCCTGACATATGGAAACAGCATTCGCAGACCATGCTGTAGTGAAAGACAATCTTGGTCCAACTTCAACTACCACTGTGTTGAACCCTTCTTTCTTTTCTTTAGCGATAAAGCTTTCACCCCCTAAATTATCAGGCTCGTAGGTCTCACGTAAAAGCCATTTAAGCACTGAAAGCTTTTGATTCGACAAATTCCCATTAACCCCGATATTAAAACATTGTTCTGTTTTCAGACCCACGATTTGATCGGATATCTTGGTCTGAACCGACTTCAGTAACTCCTCACTCGCACTTTCTTGAATCAAGGGAGTTCTATAAAAATGGATCACTTGTTCAGCAGCAGACTTGTCTACATTTCCCAACTCTTGTGCATCTACTGATACCACAGCCTTGACTTTCTTAGAAGCATTTCGTCGAACACCTTGGTTGGATATTCTCAACGAATCGTTTCTTTTGCGTTGAGATGAACGAAAAAGAAAATGGGAACTTCTACTCTTTGGTAAAGCTCTTGGCAAGAAAAACTTATGATGACTTGAACCCTGGAATTTCGATAAAAAAAAACTTACACATATTACTAGTGATCTCACACCAATTAATACACTTCAAGAAAATCAAAAGAACAGCAAAGTGGCACATACCTGTAAGAACTCTGCAGCTGTAATCTCCAAGGATGAGGCCATATTGCTTGAATAAATTTTCTGTAATAATGAAAAGATTCAACTTCCATTAACTAATGACGATGTATTTTCATTTGTCAAAAAAAGTGACAAGAGTTCGGAAATTAGGAAGCGTAGTAATTGCAGATAAGGTTCATATATTAGTGTATTACTAAGATGAAAATTCATGAATTAGCATACACAAATACTTTTGCAACAACATATTCAAGAACTATACTTTATGAAATGCATAAAAATGAGGCTTAATTGTTCAATTAAAAGCACTGATATCTCAACAAGATCTCTATTTAAGATTTTAAGACTAACAATCTGCTGTGTGTTTTATAATGGAACATTTTTGGAATGAAATTAAGCTATGAATTTACTATTGAAAAAATTCAGGGGCTTTACAACTTCACAGGTGAATTTTAACTATAGTAATGCACCGCATAAGCATAAGAGGAGCTTTTGATTATCAAAGAATGTGTATGTTTATCTTGGAACCATAAATTTATTTCAACCCATTACAGCATAAGCCTAAACTGAAAAAATTAGAAGAACAAAAAGAAACCGTGAACTACAAGTCTAAAAATATAGAAGAAATCAACCCATTATCAGTTGAGATGATGAGAATCATTGTACCTGATTGCAAAGGGAGGGAGATTTTAGAGAAGGAGATGGTGAATCCGCAATTCGAGCAAGGGAGGAAGATGGCAAACGCAAAACGCCTCTGTGAATTCTCTTCAATCCAAAGAAAGAAACAGATAAATTCCATTAGAAAAATCTTACTTTCTGCACTCCAAAAAACAAACAGATAAAGAAAGCCATTACTTTCTGCAGCTGTGAAATTTAGTTACGATCTGTGATCCAAATATATATAGATTGTTCTAAAACCATTTTTTGTTCATCTACTACCACTAGTTATATTCTTCAAAATAAAAATAATTTTTCATCATGCATATACTACACAAACCCGTATCTTCCAGTAAATTTTACTTCAATTGAAGGATTTGTATCTGGACTCCAAAACTGTTATATTGCATGCTTTGCATACACTAACTTGCAGTGATTCTGTAGCCTTCTGTTAGCCCAGATGGTCACAAGTGTTCTGTGTATTCAAAATAATGTGATTAGCTTCGACTGTGTGTTAGCCTTATGCTTCCAAGTATTCATGCAATTCAGATTTTCAATTTCAATCGTTAAAGAGTTTATTGCTTTGAATTCTAGTTTACAATAGAATTTCAACCCTAACTCCTCTTTTTCCTTTTGAAACAGTTACGAGATTCCCGATCAAACTTACTTCATTCAACTGCCTATCTCCAATTGAGACAAATCTTCTTAAATACTTCCGTGATTTCATGAAATTAAAAGCACATATAACATACACATGTCTAATTAAAGTTTTGAAGTTGTGATTGAGCGTGCTGAAGGAAGTGCCCAGTGCCTACTTTCAATTAATCACTTCATTGCATTTTTTGCATTTAATAAATACGAAATTCGAGGAGTAGAAATCTAAACATAAATGTAAATGTGCAGATAGAGAGAGATGAGTACAGGAACAGAATGGAGTGATCGACTTTCAGTGACGGCAGTAGGCCACCAGCGGCGGTCGGAAGGCAGCAGCAGAAAGGATTCGTAAGGGCGGCGTCTACTTCAGGGAGTAACCGGCGAGAGCCTCGACGGCGTGGGCGAGGTATGACTCTAGGGAGACCGACAGGCGAATTTCACCGGTTGGTTCGGGTTCATCTGGGCCCGGCCCAATTCCGACCCTGTTTTCGGGATTTTTCCACTATAAAATATAATTTTTTTATCCCATCAAAATTGACGGATAAATTATTAAATTACCCGTGTCAAATTAAAATTTTATACAATTCTTTTAGCAGTCTGTCTCATTTTCGTCTGTCTTGTCCTATCTTGTCTCGTCTAATCCTATTCAACCTCCGCCACATACCGAACATATTTTCAAATACTGATTTGAGAGTTTTAAAGGTGAAAATTAGTATATATGATGAAGGACTGAATTTGTATATTCTTTAAAATGAAAAATATCTGTATATATTCCTATTTCCATTTAGACATCCAGCAAAAAAGTATAAGAGAATAAACTTGTTTTTAGCTCAAAACCATATATAAATCGACGGTCTTTGCTTTTGTTTTATATATTAAATTCGTTATATAATCTACACTGAAAGTTACAAAGTTGGAACCATGATTACAAAGTCTACAAATAGACGAAATCAAGAGATAATTGAGAAGAGGAAAAAAGTTATTCAATCTACCAGATGAGATGAGAAACATACTGTAATTGTACCAACTTTGAGCGAAGAAGACGGTGAATCAATGATTGACGAGAATATCGAGCAAGTGAAGAAGAAGATAACATTCAATGACTACGACGACACAATCACACAAATGCTCAAGAAAGAAATACGACAAACACAGTGAGAAGGTAATTTTGGATCATTGGCCAAATTGCCAAACTAGAAACTAGGATACAGTGAGTCGGATTATATGAGTGGTTTTATCTGTGATTGGTTCATCCGCATTGGAGTTTAATTATGGTCTGTCTATTTTTGTCCCTGTTTGGTTGAGTATCAAGTAGGGGTGTTCGTGGTAATATTTGGTGCATTTTTTCAAATCCCAAAAAAATCATCGTCAATTGTATACCTTATCTTTCGTAGCATGCATTCCCATATGTGTCGCATGTGAGCTGGTTTATATGGTTTGTATTTATAACACTTCAAGCTAATAATTATAAAACCATGACTTCAAAACAAATTTAAGATTAAATTATGGATTTGCTCCCTGAAGTTTATCATTAATTACAGAACCGGTCCTTATCCTTATTTATATTACTAAAGAACCTTCCACGTATGTAATTTGTATTGGATTTGATCATACACACTAAAGGTCATCCAATTTTTCCGTTAAATATCATATTTTTATCATTTTTATCTTTGTTTCACCAATTTCCAAACCATAGGGGCCAAATTTGTAATTTCTTCTTAAATTATATTATATTTATATTTATATTTTATAAATATATTATATCATATATTTATATTTATATTCAGAAATTATTTATTGTATATATCTATAAATTATATTATGTTTCTTTTTTATAAAATTACATTTTGTATTTTATATAAATTATATTTATATTTATATTTTATATATTTATAAGTCTTACGTATTTGAACTCTTCATCTATGTAATTTGTATAGTGGTTTGATTTCTTGTTTGTAACATAAATCTCAATTTTGTACAATTTAATCAAATAATTTATGCTACAAACTCTAAACTAACTCACTATACAAATTGCATCGGCTCAAGTACATAAAATACAAATATAATATATTTTATATAGAAAATATAAATACAATATGTAATTTTATAAAACATAAATATAATTTAATTTATAGATATGTAAAATATAAACTAATTTGTAAATATAGATATATAAATGTAATATATATTATAAAATATAATTTTATAAAATTA